GCCTCAGACCATCGACAAGTCTATCTGGGTAGAATACCCCCGGCTAAGCGTTGACATGATTGCTTTGCTCACTGCCGATTCATCTGCAGCCATGACGGGGGTTGTTCGCACCCCCTCTGCTTTTGAAATTCTGGAGACTCTGCCCCCTAATGATACAGCTGAGAACTTCACATTCGGCAGAGTGAGCACAGATGTGTTCTTGATGGAACAAGGCATGGACTCACAGAGATTCTATTTCCCTTGTCTCTTGACCATGGTCCGACCTAACAAACAGCACAACCTGGTCTTTGTTATCGCCAGTCAACACGGCGAGGTCAACCTACGAATCCAAGGAAACAAGAACTCGGGTCCAACCTGGGACGATGTCCGCTGGCGCAATTCAACCCACTCACTCGAGATCAAACTGCCCAGAGGCTTCATGATTGTCGTTCAGTGTTCACAGCAGGACTACCGAATGCTGTGGAATATGTACGATTTTGGTGCCCAGGTTCAGTCGACACTTTACGCTCGATCCGACGAACACTGTGTTTTCCGTTCTACTCTCCGATCGTTCCAGTACTTCGACTCAAATCCTAATGCCCGGGCGTTCCCCAAGGAAGCCGTGGCAAATTGCGATGTGGCTCTGTTTGAGAAGATTCATAAGGAACATGCTGCTGCAGGCCCACGCGCTTACCATAGGGGGTACAGAATCGTCGTGGTGACAGGCCCTCGCACGAGAACGCTCAGTGGTGTCAACCACACCTACACGCCACAGATGCCGATTCCCTTCAGTTTCCTTAGGTCGGACGGAGGTGATGCTGCCTTGATGCTCAAGTACGACAATCTCAACCCGGATCCGAACAAGCGCCTAAAGGTGAGCATGGTGCTCTCGTTTGCTGATGAGGGGGAGCGGGCCCAGCTCAACAGCCTCATTTCCGGCACTTCTGTGCAAAAAGACGAGACGATTTACGCAGACGTGCCCCTTATCGGATTCTCCATGTCGACTTCTTTGCAGGATAGCAAGTATCTTCCAGGCGTCAGCCAGATCCCCTGGACATCCCTTCGAGTCATCAACGAAGATGCCGACGACGAATATCCTCGGACAGTTCTAGCCGATAAATTAAGAGTCATCGTTGAATCCAAGCAGGGTTTACTCACTGACCGAGTGAACCTGCAACCCGGCGAATTACGAGTGAGGCTCGAGGTTCAAGAGACCAAGTCCCTCGTGGTGATGCGCCAGCCGCAGTTCGACATGACTGCAAATGTAGCAGATGGGACTGTTGGCAAAGAGATCCCCAAGGCTATGACCGAAATGCTCCAAATGCTGCAAACAACTCAAACGATTCGCACTTACAGCTTCCCGACGCAGAAAGACCTCCATGCCTTCCAGGCTGCATTGACTGGATTCCAGGTCGTCTTCGACGGCCTCGCCGCTACCTTTGCAATTTCTCGTCGAAGAATGGTGGTTCCCATCCACAAGAAATGGGAGGCGGGATTGACTCGAGTCCAAGTGGTGCAACAAGGCACAATTATGCAACTCCTCGCGTTCTTCCCAGACTTTCACCACGGCCAGTGTATGAACTTCGTTTTGAAAGGCACGGATGTATACGAGACGTTTTCGAGGAGCAGCAAAGCTGGTATCAAGTTTGTTGACGCCAAGTTCCCCATGCCGCGTATGCCCAACGGCAGCGATGGTCCGTCGGACGACATGGGATTCATTTGTCTGGACCTGCCGGATTTGCCGGGTGAGCACGACGACATCACGCTCCTCTTCGAAAATGAAGCGGGTAAGTTCTCCTAGACCCATTGCCGAATGGACTCGGACTCATGCTAACTCCCGAACAGAACGCGACCGGCTGACGCAGTGTCTACCGGCCACCGTCAAGGGTTCCAGGTCACTGAGAGGCCGATAGATGAAGCCCACTCAAAATTGACAAGTGAAGAGCTGTGCGAAAAGCGAAGAATTATCCAAAGCATTGTTGTGGTTGGAAGCAAGACCTGGACATTCGAAAAAAACAAGATACCCATCAATCTGTTCATCACATTGGTTTGCGAACAACGAATAGCGAGAAAGGAGATATGGATGAAGCACGGGGACGGAAAAGAGCACACCCGCGGCCTGAAGACGGCGGGTAAATTTGGCACTGGTTTATACCGAGATGACAAGTGCCTAGGTACTCGGATAATGTGGCAGGTCTGGCCGGAAGACCCGGAACAGCCGCCATGGGTTGCAAGGCTAGGCATCGTTGGAAGCCTCTCCAGGGCAGCCTACCTTTTTTTTTTTTTTTTTTTTTTTTTTTTTGTGGTTTTAGGCGGCCAAGCAACAACACGACCGGATCATCAGGGTTTGGTCACTTTTTTTGCTGCCTGTCAGGATATCATGGTGGTTGTAGAGCAAAGGGCAGGCATGGAAAAGCATGCGCTTACGAGCAGGCGTGCTTTACCTTAGGTAGAAAGGACAGCAGCTTGACAATGATACGCGTATCAAGTGACATACGACGTGTGCCCGACGCACACGATGGTGCCGAAAAACGCGAGTGACATGTACGAAGGTGTGGCACCTGTGTGGGCCATTCTTCAATGAATTGTACGGAAAGAAAGCTGTTCATTCAGTGGTCCAACTGACTGGGACGCCGCGGATCTCTAGGTTGAAAGACGTGGGACATTGAGGGTATGAGGTCTTGGTCTGTGACTCGAAGTGGTTAATATTGCTTGGAAGTCGCAGCACTGCCACAATTGACCTGCATAATGGGGGTGAGATGCCTGGGCACGCCAATCATCTAGGTAAGGTAGGTAACTTGGTCTGTTGAGATCTTGTTTGGCGTTCTCCTCTCCATCTTCAACCGAGATGCTTATCTGACAAATGCACGGATAGACGATTGCTCACGTAGCTCGTTGTCGAGCATTTTATTTGGGTTGATACAGACGATTTGGCCAAAAGCCTTTCATGTATAAAAGAGACGCGCGAGATGTACAACGTCCTCGGGATGGATACCTTACCGCATAAGTCTGAACGATTAGTACCCTGCAGCAGGGTGCACCGCGTGGTGGGTGAGGGATTCAAGCATTTGAACAGAAGGGGGAGTCGCTCAGTGGATGATTGGCCTATGAAGAGAAGCCGGCGGGCATGTGATTGGGTGCAGGGTAGCACAGCATTTGGCGGTATTGAACATGGGATGGGACGGAAAGAGGGAGTGGAGGGGGGAAGCTGGGGTGACAGACACTCCCGTGCGAACAGATGCGGCTGCGCGGGTTAGGTTGGCATCTCGATGTCTGGCTCGCTCGCTCCTCCCCGTGGGTTGGCACTTGTGGGAAGCATTGCGGAAGTGCAGATGAACACCTTAGTGTTTTGAGTGACTCTTGGTCGGGTTTGTCGGGCTCACTATCCGTACTTTAGGCTTCTTCTTGGGTACCATTGAGCTGGACTCCTGAGGTGATGAAAGCTTGGAGAGAGCACGGCGAGGTAAGATAGGCAGCTAAGGCAGTGGTGCACGGAGCTAATGGAACGTGATGGCATTGGGGAAATGGACAAAAAAAAAGTTTCCCAATGAATGGCGCGACGTCATCACCCCTCCTCCTCCTCCGCCGTCCTCCATTGTGGGGTCTTCTCCGTACATACATCAGCGACGTAAGGACTGCATGGGAGCCCAGCCCAGGCCACTGGCGACAATGGTGCTGACCATCTGGGCCATCATAGGTAGCTAAAAGCAGCTAAGGTAGGTAGGTATGTATGGAGGTAGCTTCCGTTTACCACCATGCCCAAAGTTGCCTCGTCTTGACACCAATCTGCTCTCGCCATTGATAATTGCTAAGGAGTCTACCAGGTAATCGTCATCTTGTGTCACAAACTACATTGTACATGGTCTTGTGCTCCTTCCTTACGACTTCTGACATGGGAAATCATCTTTGACCTCAGTCTCATCTCAATTCCGGCCGTTCCTTGGTTAACCAGCAACCTGGAACAGCTACCTACCTTCATCGACCTTTATCTGACATTCACCGCACCTTTCCGCTTCGTCCAGTCTCCCAGTCGGCACCCAGTTACCTTTATTCATCCATTTTCCTCTCTACAGCTCTGGGTTACGTTCCAGCTTTGATTGTCAGAGGCGGCAACGCCCAATCGAAAACAGCAAGCGAGTGAGACATCGATAGGTCATCTTTTCTCCCGCCCGCGCCCTTCGCCAAGCAGGCCTCTTTCTCTCTCTCTCTCTCTCTCCCCAACTCTTCGCTTCTCTAAGCTCAACATCATTAAACCCGACTTTTTTCTTTCCCACGTTTGTATCCGACTGATACGTCCCCAACCTCTATCCTTCCGACGCTTCCTTCGCCAGCAAACCCCTTGCCCCGGAGAAACTCAAACCATCTTCGGGCTTTATCGACCAACAACTACTTTTATTACAACAAGTTCCCACAAAGTCCACTGTTCAACTGCTGCCACTCTTGACTCTCGTCCCTCGCTCTCGCTCGACTACGTACCGGGCTGCGAGGCCCCATCCTTTACTTGCCGACTCTACCCCTACTTGCAGCTTCAAGCAATCCGCAGACGCCTCTTAGGGGAGCACTGCCCCTCATTCCAGCAAGAAGGCACATCCCGGGCACCGCGCCGATAAGACCGATAGCGGTCTGAAAGACAACTGAGGGGCATCGCTGCACCCACCGCCCACCAAGAGCCAGTCGCAGTCATGGGTTTGGTCCATGTGCCAGGAAGACGCTCCAGAGCGTCCAGCCTCAGTGAGTCTTACCAGCCCTAGCGTCACTGCCTTGTCCAATGTCTGGATAATACCAGTCGTCTCCTCCTCGTCGCGCTTGTTGTGGATTTCGTACAGCGACAAACTCGCGCCCATTCTTACACCCTTTTCCCTTTACATACCCTTACGGCCTGTTGCCCATTTCCCTATACCTTGCTTGCTTCCCTAGTCGCGTACCTTGGCTTTGGCGTCTTCCGGGAGCCGAAAAGCCTCCACTCCCACTCTCCAAACCTCCGCCGTGCGCAAATCGAGAAAAAAAAGTTGCCTCCAACCATGCTGACCTCTTGGCTTTCCAACCCACCAGCTAGCAATCGCTCGAGCATCGACGAGGCCAGAGGCGCTGCCGAAGATGACGACACCACTGTGGTCGAGGCCGACCAGGGCAACGGTGAGTGAAGCCTCTGCAAGAAACCGTTCCGCCCTCATTTGCTTGCTCGCGGGGTGCTTCACGCGCATTCGGCTAACATGGGGTCCAGTGCTCGGCCACATCATTTCCCAGCTTCGTCCTGGAGCTGATCTGAGTCGCGTTGTTTTGCCGACCTTCATTCTTGAGCCCCGTAGCATGCTCGAGAGGATTACAAAGTCAGTAACTTCCGGAAAAGATGCGGGTTCCGGGACTTCCTTCGCTGACTCTGTGCGTTTGTCGTAGCTTCATGTGCCACCCCGAAATGCTCCTCCCTATACCCGAGATCGACGATCCCGTACTACGATTCGTTTCCGTTGTCAAGTTCTATCTGAGTGGATGGCATATCAAACCACCGTGGGCCTTTCCGAGCTACCCGTATAAGCCGTAGACATTGCTGACCCATGCCCAGAGGAGTAAAGAAGCCCCTGAACCCGATCCTCGGCGAGGTTTTCTCCTGCTACTGGGATCTGCCCGATAACACGAGAGCATACTACATCTCCGAGCAAACGTCGCATCATCCTCCCAAGTCTAGCTACTTCTACATGGTCCCTGAGCACAACATTCGTGTTGATGGCACACTCAAGCCCAGGAGCAAGTTTCTGGGAAACTCGGCGGCGAGCTTAATGGAGGGCACAGCGGTCTTGTCTTTCCTTAATAGGGGCAAGGACAAGACGAAGGGCGAACGATAGTATGTTGTCTCGAAAGCCACCTGTGACAAGTAGCACGCTAACCATGAGACCAGCATCTTGACGCAGCCAAACATGTACGCTCGAGGCATTCTATTTGGAAAGATGAAGTATGAGCTTGGAGACCACAGCTTTGTCCGGTGTCCAGAGCTCGACTTGGTCGCCGACATTGAGTTTAAGGTGAAGGGCTGGGTCAGCGGTACATATAATGCGATTGGTGGTTCAATCAAGCACGAAAGCACAGGCGAAGTCCTCTACGAGCTGTCGGGCTTTTGGAACGACGAGATGTTTGTCAAGGATGTCAAGGTATGCTAGGGATGATGCTACAGTTGTCACGCGTTGCTAACAAACTCAGACCGGTCATAAGGAGATGTTCTTCAACGCCAGACGATCGAAGCCCAGCAGTCCCCTGGTACGGCCTATCGAAGAGCAGGATGAGCGCGAATCCCAGAAGCTTTGGGCACCGACAGCTCAGGCCGTAAAGGATCGCAACCATGAGCTTGCGACGGACGAGAAGACCAAGGTTGAAGATAGACAACGCGAGGAGCGCGAGACAAGAGCTCGCGAAGGTGTTGAATGGAAGCCTAGGCTTTTCAGGGCCGTCCAGGGCGGCCCGGGTGGTCCTGAAGAGGGCGAGGAAGAGCTTGAGTGGATCATTAACGCTCACATGTGAGTCTATCCACCTCTCACACTGGACCAAGACATACTGACACAAAGTAGTGACCACACGAGCCCAGAGAAGCAGACTGAGCAAATTTTGGCCATATACCCTATTCTTCCGGGCCAGAAGCCTTCTACAACAAACGCCATTCCTCCCCATAAGCCCTCTACAACAAGAGAGGCCCCGGCCCCGGCTCCGGCCCCGGTCGCTCAGCAGCATGTCGGAGGGAACGACTTGATCGATTTCGGCGATGCGCCAGCTACCATCCCGACAGCTCCAACAGCAACTGCGCCTGCGGTTCAGCCACCCATCAATACTCCTCCGCCGGCAGGTCAGGAGGCGCGGAGTGGATCCAAGGACATTGAAGGGATGCTCAACAGCACCGGAACGCAAGCAAAAGAGGGACCATTGATGGACTTCACAGACATGAAGAAGAGCGTGCCGCCGCTGAAGAGAGCCGATGAGAGCAACGACAGCTTCCATAACGCTTTGGAGTAGATCAGAGCCAAGCTCATATAGGACGCACGTCTGTCACTCTGGTTTTTGTTTTCCCCTCCTACTCCATCTGGCAACCCCTTTTTTGCCAGACATCACTTTCATTCACCATGGGAGGCGGACCTCTGGCTAGAGGAGATGGAAGAAAGGGGGCCGGCGTGGGGTTCAAACCATAAATCTTTTGCATTGGCGAATATCCGGGGAAGGGGTTTGGTAGAAAAGGGATACCTCTGTAGATATGTATAGCATTGCTTACTGCTCAGTAATAACAGCATTCAACTGCGGAGACGTTTTTGGGACGTGATTTACTCGCAGCGTTCCAGGCAAGGATTAATGATGACGATAAATGATGCAGATAATGATGTAGAGGTTGTAGCGGCTCTTCGATTTGGATGCACTACCTATTCTCACATGTTTTGTTACATGGTGCTCTGCCCTTTGAAGAGTTTCTCCCATAGAACCCAGACCATCCTGGAAACGCCATAAACGCCGCTCTCACCCTCTTTTTTGGTTGGTCTTCCAATCCCCCCGTTGAGACAGGTACGAGGGGTGGGTATCAAATTCTCAATTTCTGGGGATTTCGCCTTCCACTCATCTCTTCCTCCTGCTGCGAATTAGACCCGCTGTGACATGATGAACCACGTCAATGCCCGCCGCCCCGACTTCCGGTATCCCTTAACAGCCTGCTTTGCCTTGCGGGGCCGACCTCTAGTGCCACAGTTTGATCACCGTCCGCATTCTTTGGCGCTTGGAACCGTCGCGCTCTTTCATCCCCATCAAACGACGACTGTACGCTTTAATTGAACAGCTTCCAATCGTTGTTTTCCCCTAACCCAAAAAAATCACTCTCTTTTGCTCTCTTTAGTACCGACGGCGCGTGGGTTCGGGGGTCGGCGAGCGGGACGGGCTCCTCTCGTCACGGCCGCGGTCCTTGAGCCATTTCTTGGTGCTGAGGGTGAGGTCGCGGTCGAGGTCCTCGGACGGGTTCTTGCGGTGGATAAAGTTGCAGAAGCCGCCGCGGACGCAGCCCTCGCCCGAGTTGAGACGGCAGCAGGCCTCGCGGAAGTCGGTGACGGGGGAGAGCTCGCAGTATATAGGGCGGGCGGCGTACCACCGCGAGTTGAGGTCGTCGCAGGCCTTTTGGGCAGAGTCTTCGTATTTGAAGCGGGCGTAGACGTTTCCTATGAGGTCTGTGTGCCTTTGGTTAGTATATACGATTCTTCTCAAGACCACTAGAGAATGGGGTGAGAAGGGGAAGGAAGAAGAGGACGACGCACGATCATTGTTATTGTCGCACACCACGAGCTCCTCGAGCTCGCCGTACTTGCAGAGCTCGCACCAGATGTCCTCGTAAAAGGCGTCAAAGTGGTTCTGCAGCTGGGACGGGTTCATGCGGTTCTTTGGGTCATAGGCCGGGTTCTGGTAGAGGTTGGGCATGAGGATGGTCTGCGAGTAGCTGGGCTTGACGTGTTTTCTCGAGCAGCGGTCGCCGTGGCGGCAGGCGCCGATTTTGAAGTAGAAGGAGCAGTTGACCTTGTCGAGCTCTGTGCCGAAGATGGAGGCGAGGAAGTTGGCCATGTTGTCGGTGTTTCGCGAGGTTTCGAGATATGGGTGTTGTCGTGTGGTTTGGAGCTTGCGACTTTTCGAGATGTGGCCCTTTTCGTGGTTATGTACGATGGCTCTATATGCTTGATTGTTCGTTGGGAGGGAAGAGTCCGATTGTCTCGTTGGCGGCCGCGTTTTTTGATGGAGCTGCGGAAACGGGCTTGCTTTGCGTCGCGGTAAATGCGACGGACCAGAGGTTGGAATTTCTAGCAGCCTCGCGCGCCACGACTATTAGTAATGTTGAGGCTGAAGCTTTGTCTGTGGCTGTTAACGTGTGGCTCGAGCAGTGGTGGGTTCCAGGCGGTTCTTGCTTATGGAACCCCACTGATTGATTTCAGGGACTGGAATAAACAGAGTACGTACCGGCGTTGCCAGCCGATGGTCTAGAACGTTTGGCGATTGTTGTTTCTCATCGTTGTTGTAGAATCCAAACATTCCCAGGTCAGCCTTACAACGGCTTTTTCTCATTCCAAGTCTAGAGTCAGACAATGATCTTCAGTGCTGATACAATTCGTTTTCCTCCTCATCTAGAGAGGCCACAGAGGTCTAATACCAATGAAATCGCCATATCCAACCTCATCGCAACGCTGGCTTCGATAAGTTGCTTCTTGAGCTACTCATTTGAAACACTGGGTTCTCCTTCACCCAACAATGCTGGACCATCCTATCAATTCAATGACGCCAACTGAGGGATGAGCAGACTGGTTTAATGCTATGGACCGGCTTCCAGATTCGTTTGTGCGTCTGCTTAAGTGAATGATGTTCTGCCCACCGCAACTGAAGGTTCACTCATCCGATGATGATGACTTGTCGACAGAAGTCAAAACTCCGAGGTTTACAGCAGACCTCAGGGTCACGAGACCATATTCAGATGGGAATACAACAAACCGGCGCGGCGCTGGACAATTTCAATAAGGTTTCTTCCGAGAGATGATGAAAATATCCACGGTCTCCGGTGGGAAGACATGGTGAAACCAGTCGTTGGACGCGCTATCTCACTTGCCGACCAGTCGCCGCAGTCCCGCCGTTCCAGTCACTCTCGGACTCGAAGCCAAGCAAAACCCCCCCAAAATCCACTAAAACATCCCCGAGAGGATATGTGGGGCAAATAACACCAAGCCGTGCAGCACAATTGGTGCAACACCGGCTGACTGTGGTAAAAGTGAACCCCCAAACGGCCCAAAATCAGTTGGAGGCTTGCTGGGATCCTCCCCGTTGTCGCTACATCTGTGCTTTCCCACCTCCTGCAGGACATGCGCAAACTTCCCGCCCGTGCGCATCTAACGCGGACCAAAGTCAACACAACTGGTTTGTTGTTTCGACAGCCCTCGACGCACACTCTTCTCTCTCCCGTTCCGTCTTCTTCTCTCCCCTTTTTTAGTGTATGAATAATTACACCATCCTCACAGTCCTTCCTTGAGCCTTCTGTGTACACTATTTCCCCCTTGTCGACGGAGCATCCTAAAATTCTTTTTTTATACCCACGATCGACGCCATTCCCTCCGTCCACACTTGCGAGGGATCTACAGAGAAGCTTCTGCCCGCGTTCCATCTTGCTTGACACGGACCCTCTTCCGCCAATCCTCGAGATCCTCCTTCCGACACCTTTTGCCTTATATACCCCGACCCGAGCGCTTTCTCTCTCTCACAGCCGTGGGCCATGACTACGACGGACGCGACTCTGTCTTCCACCTGCTGACGACCTTCTGTTCGACAATCGGTCACAGCACCGACGCTCCCCCTTCCCGTCCCGAACCTGTACATACCTTCTCGACGCCGCTACCATGGATCAGGCCGATATCCCCGCGCTTCTGTCGCGCCTCGCGAGCGACGAAGACGCTGCCAGGAAGATGGCCGTCTTCAAGCTGCAGTCTTCTATAAACGACCCTGCCTTCGCCGACGTTTTCATATCCTCGGGAGGCCTGGTCATTTTACGACGCCTAATTATGAGTGCGGGAGGAAACACATTGGCATACTCGTTGCAGAGTTTGACGCGCCTTTTGGAGGTAGACATGGGCTGGGAGATATTTGAAGGATCATCGTCAGGGGATCTCGTGGAGCGCATTGTCGAATTGATCGTTACGAACCCTCTAGTCAACATTTTGCGCGGTGCCATGTCGATCCTGGTCGCCCTCGTCGGCCACACACAGTCTTCTCGCCCGACGACTCCTCGCACCCCGGGTTCCTTTGGTTTTAGAGCCCTGAAGCCCGCCGTCGCAGTCTACCCGCAGTTCTTTGAGCTCGTTATCGCCCAGCTCCAGTCCGCCGACCATGCGCTGTGCGCCAATGCCCTCATGCTCATCAATGCCATGATCCGCGACGCTGTATCCAGCGACACCAGCATCACGAAGGCGAACAATCCTGCGATGGAAGAATGGTCAAAATTCATCAAGCGCTTGCAAGATCTCGGTCTCATCAAGGCAGTGTACAACCTGATGCAGAGCTCCTCACTACAGGATCTTGCGCATCCTCTGCTTGAGTTCCAGTCCTTGACCAAGGTTCTGCTGAGAAAGTGGCGGGAGGTGAGGGTTGACCTCGAGCGGCCCGAGCACAGACGAGGACTGAAGGGACTTCACCTTGCCAGCAACCCAGAGAAGCAAGTCAATGGCATTCACCGGTTGGACGAGATCAATGAACTTGGGAAGAAGGGAAGCCGGCGTCACAACCCTGAGAAATGGAGGAGACTGGGTTTCGAAACCGAAAGTCCTACACAGGAGTTCGAGGTTCCCGGCTTCCTGGGCATGATGGACCTGACAGACTACGTGCGCAAAAACGAAGATAGCTTCCAGAAGATGCTACTTGAGCAATCCACGAAGCCAAGGAACGAAAGGTGCCCGGTTGCCAGGGCAAGTCTTGCGGTCACGATGATCCTGTACGATCATTTCGAGGTGGAGAAGTCAGACGTTGAGGACATTAAGGGTTACCAAGGCTTGGACGGTATCAAAAACAACGAAAAGCTGTTCCGTCCGCTTCTCCTCCAGTGGTCGCGACTCCACACAGCCGGCCTGCAGGCTTTCTTCCGCGTATGGAAATCCACCGCTGCGGAGCACCTAGATTTCGAAAAAGTAGCAGAACTGGTCCGAATTCTCATCGAGCAAGTTGTCGGCCAGGCAAGCCGGACCAAGGACGTGTTGGAGGTTGAGGAGGAGCTGCTTGAGTACGACTGCACTAGACTACGAGAGCTTCAGATGGAGCTTTTGGAACTGTCATTCGAGGATCAGTGGGGTCAGCATTTGTATCAAGTCCGAGAGGAATTGAGGCAAGAGGCACTTCAGTTTGTGAAGGAGCAGCGGATCCGATGCCTGCTCCAGGGATCATGGTTCTCCAAGCCGCTTCCACGGCGAGACACGAACCCCAGAGACGAGAATCTCAAGCGTCGTTTATATACGCCACGACCTTGGCGTTTCGCTAAGCTCTCACACAATCGCCGGTACCTACACTACGCCGACTTTGAGGCACAAACAGCACAGGACCCGGGTCTTGACATTTTGACGGAAAAAGTCGATCTCAGCACCATCAGCTCAGTCGTCTCCAACGTCTCAGCCTCCAACGAGGAAAGCCGCAGCGCGACTAGTAGTTCGACGCTCAAGAACAACGTGACGGTCAAATCGACAACCAAAATCACCATCTTCAGCTACGCCAATCCCACCGAAGCGGCCAACGGCGGCGACGCCAAGGAGCAGGCTATCCTGACTCTCAACCCGGTCACGCATAGCCTGGCGTCGGAGTGGCTTGACGGTCTACTGATGCTGCTCAACCAGGCCCCCATCACAGCCGAGACGAACAAGCTCGTGAATCTCGTGAGCGACTTTGGCCTCAAGATCAGGTTACTCAACGTGAGAATCGAGGCTGCATACACAGGGCCACCACCAGGTGCCGGAGTGATACCCAGCAGGGATGGTCTCGACGAAGACTACTTCTACGACGTGTGAGATTTTGTATGATCGGGTTGGTGGGGGCTTAGGCCATGGGATGGAAAGCGTTCGACATGGTTGATTTTTTTTTCCCTTTGTGATGCTGGTTTTTTTCTTTGGTGGCTTACATATACCCTCGTTTTCCCTCTTGCTCTATACCGGCCAGAGATGTGACGAATGGAGCCAAGACAGGGGGAAACTCTTGACCAGTTGTTTTCTCTGGCTTGGCCGCCTACAATGAAGCATAGCGAGCGGTCCAGTTGCGTCGTTAGGTAATCAAGGGAAGGAAAGGCTTGGATTTGGCTGGCGACTTTTTCTAACAGTGGCAAAAGTGCCACTATGTATGGTGGACAGGTTTTGGTGAGGTTGATTAGCTGTGCTGGCAGGGCTTCTTTTCTTTTCTCTCTCTTCGTGTAGGCTTATGCCTCTCGAGAGCTAGGTCTTGAAGACTTGCTCGAGCATATTCCAGACGCCAATTCTACAACTCATGAACATACGATCATTAGGACGGGTGAAACGCGTACCAAGTGTTCCTGTGCGCGCAATGTCTTCAGCTGTTCAGATTTCAACTTGGCTTCCAGGATTAAGCGGACTGGCATGCTTCTCTCGGCTTAGAAATTACCTAATGCCCCTTTTCAGCAATGTTGTATGTCGTGGTACGGTAGTGTGAGCTGGTCGTGCGGGGTGGTCGTGCTAGTGGTGGTCCTCTTGCCTCCGGTTCCGCGCAGCTAGAGGTTTAGACGGAGGTCTCAATAGCTAGAATAACGCGTGGGCAAGAAAGTATGACAAATTGCGGCTCGATCACGGCTTTATCTTTTACGTGCTAAAGGGCAGTGCAATTGTAACGCTGCCAGTGGGTTGTTGATACTATTTTTCCAAGGGGAATACCCGACCTAGTTTACCCGATCTACTCTGTTGCGGACTTTCGTTGTATCATGAATCTCTTTTGCTATTGTTTCATGACTCCACAAGGCAAGGAGTAATCAGGGAGCGAGCTCAACAGGTAAGTTCAAACCAGTTTTGTCTTGTTCCACTGCTTACGACATATGCTCCTATCTGTCTACGACCTCGCAAGCCTTTTCGAGGACCGACTTTCCCATCCCGCGGCCCTCTCGAACCCATTCTCGTGGAAATAAAAGTCCTCGAGAGCCTGCCGGACCTCTTGGCTGCTAGTCACCACAAACGGACCATGCTGCACGACAGGCTGGTCCAGGGGTTCTCCCGCAATCAGGAGAACCCGCGCGCCAACGGCCGCCGTGTCCGGAACTCTCATCTGCACCACGTCTCCCTCCAATCCAAACACGACAGCCTGGAAACGCTGTGCCTCCTTCCGCTCGTCCTCCGTGGAGGAGCTGACTTGCGCAGATCCTTCGACCACGTACGCCATTGCGTTCCAACCTTGAGGGACGTGCTGGGCTATCTCGCCGCCCGGTTGAATCTGAATGTCGAGGTACCATATCGGCGTATACGTCAGGTCCCTAACGCTATCAACGCCTCCAGAGACGCCCGAGATGACTTTCGCAGTAACCTTGCCGTCGTCTAGTTTTGCGACAGGGATCTCCGTAGCCTTGAGATCGCGATACCGCGGCTCGCACATCTTCAGTTGCCGCGGCAAATCCACACACAACTGCAATCCCGCTCCACCACTACCGTCCTCGGACGGGATAGGCTGTTCGGAGTGCATGATGCCCCTGCCGGCCGTCATGAACTGCAGGTCGCCGGCGTGTAGAACGCCACGGTGGCCCGCAAAGTCCTCGTGCTCGACGGATCCCTTGAGGATGTAGGAGACGGTCTCCTGGCCCCGGTGGGGGTGGTCGGGGAAGCCTTCGCCGGTGGCGCCGTCCAGGTGGTCGAGCATGAGGAAGGGGGAGAGCGCGCGGAGGTATTTGCTTCCGATGGAGCGACGGACGCGGGCGCCTGCGCCTTCTGCTTGCTCGGAAGCGGTGAAGATTTTGTGTACTGTTCGGAGGGTTGACATGATGTACGAGTGGATGGTTGCCGGGCTTCGGTCCTGGCTTCGATGTTGTAGGTAGGTGATGAAATGCAGATACAAAAAGGAAAGAGGGGATTTTCAAACACACGGCTGTAGTTTCAATTGCGAGAATGAACCATTCATGGAGGTTTTCAGCTTGATTCTTGTTCAAAAAGCGCATAATACTTATACGCGAGCTTGCTACGATCAAGGCAAATGTCGTGTAAGTGGCCCTCTGATAAGCCAGCATAATTCGACAAACTCAAGTACCTAGCTTATAAACACCACCCACCTCACTTAACGCTTACGAATGCTTACAAGATGCTCTTCAAATGCCATAATTCTTCATCAGAAGAGAAAATGAAGTAGCCATGGACGAGCCTTGTCGCCTATGAGAAAAGAGCCAACAATACGGATAAATACGGACAGCGGACATTTAGAGAGTGCCAGAAGGGGTCCCGCGCGGGATCTACAAACTAGTGTTCATGAGTGGGGCAGGGCGGCAAGATTAGTATCTATAAACTGGGGTTCAAGAGCTCCAGCCGCGCGGGACGGTTCGTGAAGAACTTCTTGTCCGCGAGTTTTCCTGCCGGCGGCCAGTACAGGTATAAGCGCCTGATATCTCTTCATTCCTGATCAGTCTGGATAGTGTTGTGAGTCCCTCCCAGTAACGAGGTTGAGGTTGGCTGGTTATAAGAGGGTTGGGGGCGTTGACGTTAGGTTTTTGGCGGGCATTGGCACGCAGTCAATGTAGTCAAAATTGATTTGCAAAAACAAATTGCTAAATCACCAGAGGTGTCTCAAGTTCCTAGACCTATCTTGTGGACAGGGAATTCAGAGTATTGGTAGGGCTGGGTGCTTCTGTTCTATCCACCACCCCCGGTCCCAGATAATAGCCCCCAATATCCACCCCCAATATCCACCCCTGCTCAGCTTGGTTTCCCAGCCCCTCAATATTGGAGCTTCAGCCGCGGGGCAGTTTCCCAAACCAACCCTCAACCACCCTCCTGTAGATATACGAAATATCGACTGCCTACAGCTTGAGACTACGAACGCTTCAGCCTTTGTGAGGTTGAAAAACACACACGGAAAAATCAAACCTGAATTCGACATTCAAAGGTTTTTGACCAGACAAAGTAAACAAAAAAAACAAAAAAAAAAGAGTTCAATGTCCCAAGTATGACATCACCCTCCCGCACCTACCGCCCCTGAAACTAAAGCTTCCCCGACAACCACGGACCAACGTCTTTCTCCCCTCCGGACAACGCACATGGTCCGCCGCCTCCCGTGGACGCATCCACACCTTAAAGTCGGCCACGCCGCCGAAAGCAAACCTCACCCAAAACGCAGGAAGCGGGATACCTCTACGACCATCGCTACCACTTCCGCTACCACTCCCATCAGGAACAACATCGATACCGGAACCCGCGATATCAGCAGCTACTTCTCAAGTACAAGGAAAATGGGCTACCGGACCCCGCGCAGCGGCGGCGGCCGACGGTTAATGTACAATAGCGGCGGCGGGGGCGGTGGCAGCAGCAGAAAGACGACGACCCCTTATACACCCAACCGCAGCGGCGGCGGGGGCGGTGGCAGGACATATTCCCCATCGCCCCCTCCCTCGCAAAAGAAGCGCCTCGACGGGCTATTCCTCGAAGGAAACTGGTACTGCAACTGCCAGCCGCGGAACACGGCCAAGTTCCTACAAGTCAGCAAGAACACGGCCAACAGGGGCCGGTGGTTCTACACGTGCGAGAAGAGGCGCGGCGGCTGCAACTTCTTCCTGTGGGCCGAGGACGCGGAGAACAGGGCCGAGGGGGCAACCATGACGCTGCCGCCCATGCCGCAGGATGGTGCCGCTGCTGCTGCTACAACGCCTCGGCGGACGACGACTGGTCAGACTCAGGGTGGCTTCACGCCGAGTACGGCTTCCACCATCAAACCCGCTGCGAGTGCGGGAGCGCTGGCTCATTCTTCGACGGCCATGACGGAACCGCCTTCGTCGCCCACGGCGCAGAGAAGCGCCGCTAAGCAAAAGTTCATGGATACCTACTTCAAGAATCGACCCGTCCAGGTGCCCGAGGAGGAAGAGCCGAACGATCTCATGGTCACGGACGAAGAAGCCGAGCTTACAACCCCGGCGCAGAGAAAGAGGAAGAGAGTCCTCTTCGACTTTGACTCTGATGACGACAACGGAGAAGAAGCACAGGGACAGGGGCAGGGAGGAGCTGGGACCGACGACTACGGTCTCGACGACGACGTCTCCTCGGACGAAGAGAGGGCCATGACCGAGGCCATGGAACGCAGCGCCAAGAAGCTTCGCACCGTGGGCGGCGGTGGTGGCGCGCCTTCCACGCCCGCTGCGCAGCGTACGGTGCACGACGGTGCGCTGCCTACGCCGCAGACTGTCAGCCGAACACTCTTCCCCGGCGCGAAGCGCCGCAAGGTCGGCGAGGACGTCGTCGGGGAGATCTCTCCGGGCAACGCATCCTTTTCGACGAGCACTTCGTCAGCGACACTCGGACGCTCAACAGCAGCAGGGGGAACAGGCGCCCCCCCTTCCTCCTCGCCGCCAACCTCGACCCCCCAAGAAGAGCAGCTCGATCCAACAGAGGAAGTCATGGACCTACTACGCCAGGGTCAGAAGGGCGTGGGCGTAGATGACGCCACCGCGCGCGACGTCAGAGCCGTGCTGGGCCGGTTCGCGATGAAGGCCAAAGGGCTGGCGCGGGGCCGGGACACGGTGCGGACGGCGCTCAAGGCCAAGGACGAGAAGATTGCGGAGCTGCAGGAGCGGGTTGCGAGTCTGGAGGCCCGGGCGAGGACGCAGAGGGAGCAGATTGCGGATTTCAAGGCTGGTATGATGGACTTGTACTCGAAGCATTGAGAGCGTCTCTCTACTTACTCGGACGACTTTTTTCTTTTCTTTCTTCTTTTTTCTTTCTTCTTCGCTTTGGAGGTGTGTTTGGCGTTTGTCGTTGTTTCTGGTAATAAGGTTATGTCTAAGGCAGGAAAGGAAGAAAGACTTCGGATAGAAAGCCATCTATCCCGTGAGGTGGGCTATTGATCCATACTCTACAGGTTGGATGAAGATGGGTTATGATGGAGTTTGGAATTGAGGATACCCCCCGCTCGCACGCCCTTTTGTTATGGTTTATCGGTAGTAAGTAGATAGCAACTGAGAAGAAGACGATTTTCTTCCTCACTGCACCTTAACCTCGTTTTGAGTACCCCTTTCTGTGATGAGGGTGGACCTCCATCGAAATTCGCATCGTTACTTGAATCGGCCTACTATCTGGGACACGGTTGGCATCGGACACATTATGAGCCTCATTGTGCGAGCACATGACCTGGAGTGTCCTCAGAATGCTAGCTGAACAAAACTACGTGTTTTGGCGTTGTTGCTTCTACACATGCCTAGGTGTCATACAATCCTAATCATTACTCCCCAAGTATTAGACGAATGGCTGGGAAGAGACGGCGAGTTCTAGCAAACCCCAGAAACCCAAAAATGACATCACAAAGTCCAATAAACGAAATAAATCTTTTCAACTGATTTCAAAGTAATTCAGGTATTGTAGCCACGGAAAACCATAAAACGCCAGAGTTTATGGGGCTTGATACCCTCAAATGTGCCAAACCCATGAAGCCTTTCCCAACCCACCAGCCACCCATGTATGTGGACCCAAGTTACGAGCCAGGGGATATCATGCTTTCTCTAAAAGCTTACTGGGCAAGAACCTCGCGCAACATGACAAGGAAGTTATCCTTGAGCTTGTGAACCTCGGACACGGGCGGCTTGGCCGGCTCGCCGGCGCTCCGACGGAGCCTATCGCGTCTCTTGGCCCGGCGACGGCGCTCGGCCTCGATAGGGTCGAGCTCGTCCTCCTCCTCCGCCTCGTCTTCCTCCTCCTCGTCCTCGTCGTCATACGCCATGTCCTCCAAGTCCATTTGGTCGAGGCCAAAGTCGGAGGAAGAAAAACCAGTGGGAACCAAGTCGGGACCTCCGTTTCCTTCAGCCGCCATCTTTTGTCGTGTCTTGTCGTGATGCCACTTCTTCCTGGCTTCTTGCCATGCAATGAGCTGGTTGACCTCATCAATGACCTTGGCCTTATCGACGGCACCGGAGCTAACACCTCCCTCGAAGAGCGCATTGACATTCAAGGTGCCGTTCTTGGGACCCTTCCTCAAGAACTCCAAAATGTCCTCGATCCAGCCCATCAGCTGGTCAAACAAGCCATTGTCGTGTGTGTGGACCTCGTGCACAAACTTATAGAAGTTATGCTCGTGTCTCTGGCAGAGATCAATGAAGGCCTGGACGGTTTGGTTCGGGTCTGCTGATGCGTCCTGCTCCTGGCATTTCTCAACAACCTGCGTTGCGTGTTAGTGCTGTTACCGTGACATCTCGCGAGACTACCTACCTGAATCATGTCGTCGATGAACACGGCAAAGTCCGTGACACTGCTGTAAACGTTTGCCGACTTGTAGACCCGAACAAGGGGTTCGTAGAAAATGCTGAAGAGATCTCTGAACAGCTGAAGTGTGACTGGCTGCTCCACCAACTGCAACATCATGGCCTTGTCGTGCTGTCTTGTGCAAAGCTTCAAGTACTGCTTGAGGTACGAGAACAGCTGAGCACCCTGCTTCAACTCCTCGTCAATGTTCTCAACCGCGTTGTTGAAAGCGACGTAGGCATTGTAGAGTCGGCCAATCTGTTCCGAGGTGAGACCAGGCTCAAGGTAATCCGAGCGGAGGATCACGACAATCAAGTCGATATCTTCAGCAGTCGCCTCTTCCCTGATTGCGAGTTTGATGTGCTCCTCGGCCTCGGTATACATCTTCAGCTTGCCAGTAAAGGCCGCATCGCCGATCTTAGCGCCGAGCGTGTCGATAGACTTTTGGAAGCTCTTGATGCCGTCATTGAGGGTTAGTGAGAAGATGCGTTGAAGAAGGGATCGGGTGCCGAAAGGTTGGGCCAGGAACACGTCCAAGACACCGGACATGACAGCAGCCGGGTTCGCAATCCTGATAACGTTCTTGATGACTGTGTAAGGAATGAGCGAGTGTATCCTCTTGGCTTGGGCGAAAAGCTCGGGAGAATTGTCTTCTGCAAGGAATAGGTGGTAAATCGTAGCTGCGACTTCTATCCGGAGCCACTCGGCGAACTTCCGGTACTGAATGCTCAAGTCCTGGATAGTCTCCTTCTCCTTGATCTCCTTAAACAGTGACGTAAGGCCGTTACGCTCGACAATCTCTTGACGGAACCTGACCGCTGTTAGTACATGGTCGTGGGGAATAAAGATTGCAGGACTACGCACTCCTCCATGTAGATGTCGAGCTCGGCAGCACGTTTCCTTGCCACCTCGTAAAACTTCTTTTGCTCTTCCACACGCATCGCGTCGACTGCCTTTCTCCGTTCAATATCGTCGATATCGGCGTCCGTCGGCGTGATCTGGTCTCTGGTGAGGAATTCCTCCATAGCCTTTGTTTGTGCAATCTGGGGGTTCGAGAGCAGTGTGCGAATGAAAGCTCTGAGAGATACACGCTGGCTTTCACGCCATAGCGTCACCTGTTCGTTCTTCTTTCCTCCGAGGAATGGCAGGGGGCTCTTGGGCCTGCTGTCCGTTGACACGCGAGGCGAGTTGCGACCTGAAGTGGTAGAGCTAGCACGTTTGTGTCCTACACTAATTAGCATTCACGGCACCGTACGGGAATGAGAAACACTCACCAAGAACCGACAGCTTGGAGTGGGTGTCCTTTTCGTGAGGAGGAAGACCAGTCATCATGGTCGAAACAGATGACACCGAGGAGGCAGAAGAATCCGGGCTTCCGCCTCCGGTCAGAGAAGAGAACAGACCCGTAGTCGTCGTATCCGATTTGTTCTTCTTCGGCAGAGTGGGCAGAACCTTGCCCGGCAATTCGAGGCGTAATCTCTTATGTAACCTGGCGAAATCGCTATATCTTCTACCGATGAAGAACTCGAGCTCGCCCTTTCGGTGAATGCGCATGATGAACTCCTAAACTCGACGTTAGTGTCTACCGTTCTCGTCAAGAAACGAAAACTCAGGAGAGTCAGCTTACAGCATGCTTGTGAGATCTAATGGTCTTCCTCTCCGACGTGATTCGGACGGCAGCAATGTTCACATCCCAACCATTGATGTAGTTGCCTTCCGGCAACGCATGCATGACGCCCGTGTCGATGGCATTGCTGTCGACGACCTCGATCTCGGAAAAGCGTATTCTCTCCTCAAAGCCGGACGAAGTCTTGCAACCGGACACCATCATCAGCTCAACGAGCTTCTGACATTTTATAGCCAACTTGCGCCGCTTGGTCTCTTCGAGTCTGTCTTCGGAGGATGAAATATTCTTCGTCGCAAAAGATTCTAGGAACTGTAGTTGGGGGTGGTGGAACGAGTCAGCGGAGCTAGTTCGGAGGGAGTGAGGGCGCTTTGCAATGGCGCGGGGGAAGCCTAAGCCTTTGCACTTACTACTTGGAGCTTGTCTTGCCAAAACTCCTTCTCTCTGGCCTTGTCGAGGAAGGGGAAATCGCGAACATGGTGTACAAAGATGTAGCGGAGGATGGGGAGCTCCGAGTCGAGGGGGGAGACCTCCCCAACATCGGATTTGAAGGGGGCGCCAAATCGCTTGAGGGCCGTGGGGGAGTTGAGCTCCGAGATTTCGTACTTGACTTGCTCAGAAACGAGCTCGCGCTTGAGGTCTGGCGAGAGTGGATGTTAGCATCTTTTCCTCTTTTTTGGATCACGTCGAAAATGATGGGCGGCTTACAATGCTCTTGCTTTCCCGTCAGGGACTGGCCCGGCGGGGGAATAGACATGTTGCTCTTTGAACGAAGAGGAAGCTCCCTGGTGACCGGGGCCTGGGCCGGGTCTACAGCAGCGCCATTCTGCGGTTGTTCCTGGGATGTCGAAGCCATCAGCGTCGTTTCTGTTTTATTCCGTGTCGTTTGAACCGTTCTCGGGAGCTGGCAAAGGTCTGTTAGAATGCCCTCGTTTTTCTTCGGTGCCAAGATCGTGGGAGAGAGAGGAGAGAAAGGTGGTTGCGGATTTGCGGAAGGAAGAAAGGGTCGAGAGAAGGTGGGCAAGCTGACTGGCGTCAGAGCAACAGCTGGGGACCCGCGACGTAATAATCAATTTACGGACGGTACAGCGGTACTGGGGGGTGACTGGGTACTTGGGGGCTGGCAGGGTACCTTGGGCTGGGCACGAGCCGGGTCTCAATAGTGTAGTGCGCGCGGCAGATCCCAATGGTTAGGTTGTGGTCGCAGGGCAGGGAGCGGGCCCAGATCGCAGTGGGGGCGCAGGCGGCGGTAGGCTGTAGGGTCGCTGTACGTAACGCGCGTATGGCGGGGTAGTTACAGGCGCTGCCCACTATGGTGCTGCGGTGAAGTGCAGGGCAGCTCTCGTAGCAGCAGTGAATGAGGTGAGGTGAAAGAACAGGATAGGAGCCACTTGGTTTGGTAGCCTGAAGGTACCTTGGCCAAAAGTCAATGCTGTCAGGTGCTCGTCGCGGGGCCCTGTTGGGTTCAAGCAAGTGGAGGGGAGCCCGGTTGAAGCCTTTTTTTAGTGCCGGTCCCAAACCACCTAAACTTTTTCGTCGCTCGTTACCCTCGCCGTCTTTGGTGTCTATTAATTATGAATCCCAAGGAACCCAGAACCCTCCTGTTCTTGGTGTTGCCTCAGATGCTCCCCCTCCCGGATGTTGAGACCTAGCTCCTCAAGTACTAAGAACTAGAAGCTGGATGGCATTAAGATACCATGTGGCGGGAGCTCGGCAGGTTACGTAGCGCCCAACAGGTTGGATGAGACGAGACGGAATGAGCTTAGAGCTCGGTGAAGCTAAGCAAAGATGTGATTGGGCGTTGGGAAG